ATCACTTTATCAATTTCCATATGCATGGACATTTATTTTGTTTCCTTTTTTTTTTTTTTTTGCTACAATGAACATCTTTCTCCACACCTCTATGCACATACATTTTCTCTATGGCATGCCTATCTCCTTTAAGAAAAGTCCATCCTTGCCGTGGCTGGGTGACCCAGTTGGATAGAGTGTCATCCATACACCAAAGGTTGCAGGTTTGATCCCCAGTCAGGGTATTTATGGGAGGCAACTGATCGATGTTTCTCTCTCTCTCCCTTCCTCTCTCTCTCTCTCAAATCAATGAAAACATATCCTCAGGTGAGAATTTTAAAAAATAAAAAAAGAAAAACCCAGCCTTCATTCAAAAGCCAGCCACATTTTCATGAAGGTCTTCCCGCAGGTCTCTGGTACAGTCTTCAGGTCCTCACAATCCACACTCAAAGAATTTCTTTTTTAAAAAGACATAGAAATTACATATATGTCTTTTAAAAGCATAACAAATAATATGCTCTTCAAAGAAATAGATATTTCTTTGGCATTCTCTACAATTTGGAATAAGCACTTAATAAAAACCTGTAAATTGTTGGAATGGAAAAACTTTCTTATAAGATATCTCAGCCCATATAGGACTTGAGACTTGAGTAATATTCCACAGAAGGAAAGCGATGCAATAAGTTTTACCTTTATGTTAATTCAATCTCCCTCCAGCTCTACTGATGTTCATAATACTGGCTATGTGCCACCCAGAAAAATGAAGTGGTAGTTAAAATACAAATGCCTGGAAAATGGAGTAAAATGAATGTCCTGAAGCAATGACAGACACTTAAACACATTTAAATACACTATGCTTTAGATTTTTGAATTTAGAGATTGGATGTCAAAGACCAGAATTCTTATAAGTATTAAGAAGGTCTGTAAAAAGCACAGAGAATTCAATTATTATTCTCCACTGATCTATTTGACTACTCTTCCACACAGTTTCAAAACCACAGGAATGCAGTTTTTAACAATCTTACCACTGAGCTATATCATTTGCATGTTGACAAGGCTTTTACAGATGTGGGTGGAAATACACTAGTCCAGTGATTCTCAAACTTCATGGATTCAAAATCAGATATAAGGATATACTGTATAACTGTACAGTTGCCATTTGGTTAATAAAATATAGTAGAAATTCTAAATGGCAGAATTACGCAGGCCATGGAGAAATGTCAGTGTTATCTTGAAATGTTCTTTAAAGATGTTACTGAATTGATCTAATAAAAAGTGAACCATCTACAGAATAAACCACTTTCTGCTAATATGATAAATGTGAGGGAAAATCTAACTGGATAAAATTATAATGTGAATAAAAATAAGCACCTCAAAGAGCAAGAATAAAGCTTTCCTCTGAAGTTGTAATTTCCACATTTTTCTTTGTATGCATGATGAATCATTCTAAATATGAAGATACCATTATGGACATTTGTATCCTTAATTCTGAAGAGATTTCAGAGTAGAGAAAGTTAAATAGAGTTAGACTCTCTAATTTTGGCCTGTATTTTATCATTTTTATTTAAACCACAAAGTACTTTCTGATCCACAATGCTGTAAAATGAACTAGCTATGGAGCTTTCTATTTGAATCCATGCTACCTGGCCACCTTGTCCAAAAATGAGAGGGAGGGAGGAAGGAAGGGAGGGAAAGCGAGAGAGCGAGAGCGAGAGAGAGAGAGATATTAAATGAGAAAAATCTATCAACACATCCTCTTAATAGTAAGTACCAGATATCACAATAGCAGATATCAAGTTATACTACAATGCCACTGTTCCCAAAACTGCCTAATATATTCTTACTCCTTTCCTCTTGGAATCCCTACGGTGCTCCAAAATATTGCCAATGGAATTGGTTCCCATGGTGTAATTTGCATGCCACTTTTATTTAGACTTGTTATGAAACTCATAAAACAGAACCACTAATGCACCGGTCATCAGCTGAAACTGGTTTGCAAACACAGCTTCTTTTAGGCAGTGCTGGAATTTACAGTAATTGAGTATTCACATAAGCCTGTCAGAAATTCATCTTACCTGATAAACATATCATTCCCTGATAGCAAAGAATTAGCAATGTAATAAAGGAAAATACACCCAAAGCATGAGGGTGAAAAGTCTCCCTATGACCAATGGAATCACTTATATCCACGAAGATTTTCAGTTTCCACGATTCTTTAGTTGGTGTTAAGAAATAAAACAGTAAATGGTAGGCTCTAACTATTTATATATAAAATGTAAAATGCTAACACCTCTTATCTTCTAACAGTGGAAAACACAAGATATAGTTTTAATCATAACTATGGTCAGACGTGTCATTCCAGGATGCCTTGGAAAGAAGCTAGTCCCTGACTTCTATTTCTATCCCAGGCTTTCTGATATCAGTCAAAAGTAGGTATGATGAAGGTATAATAAGTAGCATTTTCTTCACTTTAGTTTGACATGCCACTGTTGTAAAACATTGGCATATGCACATTCTTGATTCAAAATTAGTCCAAAAAGGATTATCTAAAATCCAACAAGATTTATAATCTTTCATATCCTGCTCACTATGGCTCTTTAAGTCTCTTTTCTAGGTATAAGATTCAGTTATATTTGCTAAATCATAGGAAATGAATATACTTATTTTTAGGTAGCAATTGTAAAAATAAAAACATATAAATCTTCCCCCATTTCTTCCTATACTAACACATGCAAATTCTTTTTAAAGATCATTTATAATAAATCAAATTAGTTCAAATCAGAGTTTACAGTGCAATGACACTTTAATGCAAAATAATTCTGACTTTATTGTTGAGAGAAATTTAAGGTATGTTTTTAAAGATATATATTTTAGCATTATAATTCCAGAGTGTGTGTATGTGTATTGATGTCAGAGAGAAAGGAAGAGGGAGAGACAGAAACATCAATGATGAGAGAGAATCATTGATTGGCTGTCTCCTTCACGCCCCCTACTGGGGATTTAACCCACAAACCAGGCATATGCCCTTAACTAGAATCGAATCTGCGACCCTTCAGTCCACAGGCTGACGCTTTATCCACTGAGCCAAGCCGGCTAGGGCTAATTCCAGAGTATTAATCTACATAAGTCCCCATTTTCCAATTCACTTATTTTCTTAGTTATTTCTAAAATATATTTTTATTAATTTCAGAGAAGAAGGGAGAGGGAGAGAGAGACTGAAACATCAACAATAACAGAGAATCACTGATTGGCTAACTTCTGCATGCCCCCTACAGGGGATTGAGCCTGCAACTCGGCCATGTGCTCCTGACTGGAATCAAACCTAGGACCTTTCAGTTCGCAGGCTGACGCTCTATCCATTGAACCAAATGAGCTGGGGTTTATTTAGTTTTTAAATAAAAACTATAATAGATTCATAATATTAAAAAGTTAAAACAATATAGTAATGAATAAAATATTATTTTTGCTTATTTCCTTTGTCTACCTCATTTATATTGTCCTATAATTTAGCATCTTAAGAGTTTTTAGAATTCATTCAATATTTTTTAAGAATATACAATAGAACATGCATATATTTATGTCCTTATTGCGCTCAGAGTGTTAAGCAACTTGCCTGTGGATACTAAATCTAACACGTTATATACCCAAATTAAAATTGGGCCATCTGATTTCAAAGTCCAGATGTTTCATTATAGCATAATGACAGGATAGATTTTTTTCCTGTTAAATTTTTTTTAAAGCAACCTTAGTTTTATCCTTCTTAATCATGTACTTTTAATTATGGAAATCTTCCCATTCATGCAGACATATCAGTGGCATCTTGCATCATGATTATAGTATAGCACATAAACTATTTCCCAGGCTTTAGCGTTATATGTTTTCTTCCTTTGGGAAATTTATTTTCAAGTATTTCTCTTTCAGCTTCAGAAACTGGAAACACTGGTATAGCTCTAGAGTAGACCCTGCACCTGTGCTGTTCCCAGGGTTACTGAGGAACCCCGGGTCCCCTCCGACATCACTCTTGCTCTACCAGAGCTTACCTTTCCTTTGCTGATGATAAAGAAGGTGTCCCCTCTTGCACCTTGCCTGATGATGTATTCCCCATTTTCATAGTGGGTCTGAAAAATAGAAATAGCAACAGAAAAAAAAAACACATTAAGAAAGAAGTCATTCACCAAACAACCCAACCTCTTCCAATATCAGCTCCTCTAGGCGTTTTACTCAAACCTAGAACCCATCATGGTTTAAGAATAACTAATAGTCGATGAATATAATAATTGCAGAGAAGTCATTTCTATCACATTCATTTTTAAACTATTTTGTTAATGCCATTTTTCCAGATGATTACATTCATATCTTTCAATCCAATCATTTTAAGAGTCTGATGAAACTATTCTTTTCTCCCATCAACTGAGCATAAAATAAAACAGCAGAGCTGCTAATTAAGCTGGTCTCCTGTATTATTTTGTTATTCTCATTTAGCTTTAGTATTCTCCTAACGATGGCCTTTTTTTTTTCCTGAGAAATTACTGTGGCATCTGAAGATCTTCATTTTGAAATCATGTTGACTTTTAGTGTGGGTTTGATGGCCCTAGTTGCTTTTTAAGGCACGGCTTCATGCTTTACTGTCCTTGCTTCAGCAATTTAGATTTGGCTCTGTCAAACAGAACGTCTTAATTTTAGGGACTAAAGTCTGGCCCAGCAGCTGTGAGCTCATAAACTACCAAATGAGGAGCCAAGTAAGGCAGCAAGAAGAGGACCACTGTCCGTGTGTCAGTATTCTGACCCTGTCACAGCCACTAGGTTCATTCCCAGGTTTAAGATAATTCCTGAAATAGACAGAAGTAATTTCTTTAAGGAGAAGTGGAACAAAGTGTATTGCTGTGTCATGAGGTATAACAGGGAAATGAGAGCTGTGCCATCTGCCTTCTTCTCTGTAGCTTAGCAAGGGAGCCATATTTGGAGAAAGGAAATATTGCTTTGCGCACTCCTGAGGGAAGAGGCTTTGTGGTTTGCATGTGACTTGGCTGTGATTTGTCTTTACGCTTCAATACCATGTTTCTGAATACTTTGGTCTTTGTACTCTTAAAATTGCCTTTCATTAATACTTGACATTGAGAATAGCCATAATTTTCTTAATATTGAAAATTAACATGCTACCTAATCTCAGTGTGTGTGCTTTATGCTCAAACACAACTCATTTACTTATAAAAAGCTTTAAAATTAGGATTATAGAACACACATTCTTCAACTGATTTATTTCATTTAACAAGATATCTACTAGTATGTTCCATTTTCTTATCTTGCTGCTTTGAAAAGATCTGTATGACATACAGATTTGAAAAACGAATGGTGATTTCTACTTTCATTTATCAATTCAACAAACATTTCTGAGTGTCTCTGATCAGGTATGAGGATGCAAAGATGAGTCAGACAAAATTCTCATAGTAGCACCGACGGGTACACCTCTCTGTGATGGCAGTTATATAGCTGCGTTGTCCAATCTGGCAGCCTCCAGCCAAATGTAGCTACTGGGCTGCTGAAATGTGGCCAATGTGACTAAGAAGCTGAGTTTTTAAGTATATTTAATTTTAACTAATTTACACTCAACTAATCGCTACATGGCTAGTAGCGATTCTATCAGATAGGGCAGGTAGTAGCTAAACTTGACAAGGGAAGTCTTCATCTGTAGCAGTGCCAGCCTGACCTAGCCTCTCTGTCATCTCAGTTCAGTGCGGTCGTGAGGAAGACATGTGAGTGAGAAGCTTCTAACTGAGCCCAGCCTCACCATTAGCGTGTCCACATCTAAAGCCCCAAATACCTTGGGGCAGAGACAAGCCATTTCTATTACATCTGAATTCCTGACTCACGAAATTTGAGAAGAAAATGGCTCTTACTCTGTGCCACTGGGTTTCGGGGTGGTTTGTTACACGGCAATAAAAAACCTCAACAGGCAGGGAGGGGGCTGTGACCCAGTACGTGGCTCCTGCCTTCTTCTGGAAGCTCTGGCTTTTATTGGTTCTAGAGTTCAAGCCCATCAGCTGCTGTGGTGAAAGATGGTGTCTTCCCCATCTTTGGGGTCTCAGCTGAGAGGGGAGGGAAGAGTCTGGAACCCAGCCCGGTCAGAATGTTATCCCTAGCACAGTGGGCAAAGCACTTTCATGACCCTTGTCTTGTGGAAGCTTCACAATAACCCAAGGAGGGGTTTCAATATGAGACGTTGAAGCAAACACAGTGACTAACTAGCCCAAGGTCATATCGTTAATAAGAGGTTAAAGTGGCACTCAATGCAGGTACTTCTTTCATGTCCCACGGTGAACTGTGCTGGAGTTAGTGAAAAATATGGGCCATTCTCCCCCACTTCCCCACCCCAGCCTGTGGCTGGAGGGGTTAGTGTGGGCAATCACTAGCATCTTTTACATTGCAAAGAAGAGATGTGTCCAAGTCACCTGTCAGGGATAAACAACTAGACTGGTCCCAACTCCCTGGTTGTAAGTAAAAGAAAATCCAACCATGACTAGCAAAACGGGAAGGTACTGAGTAACAAAACAGTTAGTGGCATCCAAAATTTCTGGATCCTGGGGTTAAATCAGACCTTGGCCTCCCTCTTGTCCTTACAAGTCTGTCTGTCACACACTAGCTTCTCATGAGGGTCCAGGGTGGGCCAAGATGACCGTGGGTTCCCCTCCTGTCCAGACCAGCTGGCTCTTTCATGATTGTAGGTCCTTCATCCCACAGAGTAGAAAGTTTAACAGGAATATCTAAAGACTGTTTATTATTTCACGGAAATTATCCAATCACCTTCTAAATATTATCTGACAGGGTTTTGTAACTTGACACCCACAATTGCTGTATCAGTTATGTTAGCATACCTACACAAGTATTCACAGTTCCTATTTCCATGCTGCATAAGCCCACAAACTCAGGGGTCCAGAGAAGAGCCTATGGAACAATGGCCAAAAGCAGCCCACCTCTGGGAAAGATAATGGTGATGGTGTTATGGGATCATAATGACTGTGCTATCCTGAAATGTCCAATTGCACCTGAGGGGAAGATGATCACACATGCTGATGCTTCAAGAGCCTCTATAATTACGTCCCGCAAATGCCAGCAGGTTCACTGTTTTTTGAAGGTCACTTTGCAGCTCTACCAATTCTTTTTATTTCCAATTAAATCAAAGAAAAACATAGAATATAGAATGGCGAGAAACCTTAGCAACTCTTAGACGTCTCCATCCTCCTCTTCTCCCATTCTCACCCTCATTTATTCTGTTTTAGGAGCACTGGCTCTTTCTGTGCCTTGTGCTTACCAGACCGACTCCCTCTTCAGAACTTTGCATTCAGTAGACCCTCTATCTAGCATACTCCTCCTCAAAATATTTGTCATTATCTTGTTCCCGTTATTCAGGCCTCAATGAGACCTTTCCATTTATAATGTGCCCTTCACCCCCACTCATTTTCTAGCCTACATTTTGTTGTTGTTTTTGTTAATGTTGTATTTCCTGGCTC